TGGATATTTGAAATATATAGCCATAGGACAGTCCAGGTTACCTATATAGAAGCAACCACAAGGATAGGCAATAAATGAGAAGAGTAGTATTACAATTAATGAAGGATATCATATAACTTATGGGTCCTAAAATCACTAAATTGTTTACATTCTTTTATTATAGCACAGTCATTGCAGAAAACACATAACACGTGTTTATTTTTGGTTCTTTTTGCAAAAGAGCATCTTCAATGACTTTGTTGTGAACTTCCTGAGCTCTGTGGTGTTTTTTTTAATTAAAAAGTCTATTTTAGTCTCACATCCACAGTCACTGTAGTGTGAGAGCCTGGGGTTTTTTAAAGCTCTGCATGCAATTCATATATTCATATTCTTGGTAATGTTATTTCAATGAAATTCAGCTTGGCTCTTTGCAGCTTTTATCAGTCTGCTCTTTATTTCTGATAACTTTGTACATGTATTCCAAAAAGAATAGGCTAGTTTATTTTTAAATGAGTGGGTTCTCTGCAAATCAGGATATTATGATCATGACTGGTTCACAGGGAAAACCATGTTTTCTCCTTCCATGACAGGGATATATATATCGGCAGTGTTGCATGTTGTACGTACAAGCTAATATACTGGTGCATGCTCGGTGGGAGTAAAGTTGGCTTTGTTTAAAGCTTTTTGTACTTCCTTGTACACTGCCCAGCTGTGATGTAATTATAAAAAGAGCAGTCTTTGGAAACTGTCAGTGGCTTACTATGACGCCCTAAGGATATTATTGAAAAAGCCTAGATGGACAAGTGTTAGCGAATTGTTCAAATTTTTTGTTTGAATTAGTACATTTTCCGCTGTTTTAAGAAATTTGATGTATAAATTTCTTTGTCACTTGAATGGTTCAAAAAAATCATATCATTTTACTGTTGACTAGTGTTGCACACAGTGACATGCGTTTTACTTCTGCTCTCTGGAAACACTGGTATGCCTGCCTTCTAAAGGGACAGCAGTTTTATGGGTGTTCTTTTTGTTCTCGTTTTTATGTATTTTTCTGTTTTTATTGTTTTGTTTTAAACTGTTCTTTTATTGCTTCTTATTTGTTTCTGAACCTGGACCTGGAGTCTGTAATAAAGTGTCATTCATTCATTCATTCATTCATTCATTCATGGCTACTGGGCCATAAAGTACATGGAATAGAAAACAACAAAACCTTACATTATTAATCAGAAGGTTCACCGTGATATAGTTGGGACCATCTTTCTATAGACTGACAGTGCTGCTGTTAGATCTCCGAGCTCTGGAGACCCACCCAACTGACCTGTCTAAACAAAATTTCCTTGACCTCTCTTGCAAATCGATGGAGACAGAGTGGCTGCCTTACAGACGCTATCAGCAGAGGGCATAAGAGAGCTGCTGGACAGGGTGAGGCTGCTGGGACTCACTGTCATCCAAATAGTCCACAGTACCTTCATGGGTAGAAATCAAACCCAGGACAAGCACATGCATGTATGGAGATCCCACCGCAAATCTTATCTTACAAATTGATTTAACTAAACTTTGTTGCTTTGTTTATTTGCTAATTGAATTTTTATTTGCTGCCTTATGACTGCAGGGACTGTACCCAGTACATTAAACATTTTGTTGAGCAAAATGAGTGAAGAAAATCAGGACAGTAGCAGCATTGTAACTGTGACTACTAGGCAAGAATATAGTCTCACACTTCTTATTGCATCCACATCCTTGGAAGTGCTTCTCTATATAGGTCTATATTCTTGTGTCAGGAAGGCAGCTCCAGAGCCATAACAGGAGAGGCTGATGCATTTTCTCTCAAAATCTTGCAAAGATAAAAACAAAAACTTATGGAGCTCTATTCAATAATTGTCTGCAGGACCCATTGATGAAACTGTTGACTAATATTTACAGCAGTAAAGGTCAGCACAAGCCCCTGACACTGTCCTTTCAGAGAGGGATTACCGTGTCAATTTTCCACCACACTGCTCTATATAAAAGGTACCAAGCTGGTGTTGTGTCCAAGTCTGTTCTGCCATTGAGATGTTTCCCCTTGATACCTTAACTTGAACCTAACTTGGCAACTCAGTTTTAACAGGGGGGAAACACATCTTGGGGGTGGGGTATCTGTGTAATACTGAACACAGGAGCAGCACTGTGCCATCTTTTTTTTAGTTCAGTATAATAGGTCAAACTGCAATAAAGAAGGACCAGCTTAACAGCAATACTGCTGAATCTATGAGGCTACAGTACTCCAGGGTGATGCAAACAGCCACTGCCCCTCAGACAATGAGTCGCTATCCTTATCCATAACCTAGCAGATAATGAGCCTACAAGGTGATAGTGCTGTGCTGCTGTTTGTTCTAGGTTACAAAACAGTGGGTTGCTTACCTGCAAGCAGTGAGTGCCCATATTCTGAGTTTGGTTTCTTTAGGTATTACATTACCACCCATAAGATTCCTGTATTAGCCATTTCACTTTGCCAGTACAAGTACTCCCTGGATAACTGAGGTGCATAAACACCCCACAATGATAAAGTTTCAATTCCAAGAGAGAGTGGAAGCCAGCTCAGTCCATAAACAATATATCCACGTGAAAGGATCAACTCTACTGGAGTGATTAACCCCATTCTTCCATATGATCCTTCATCTGGTGTTTTGATGGTAATGTGAGCACTGTTTAACATTCTGGTACTAAATCATAGGACAAAGGAACTCATGCAGAATAACTATGTATTTATTTTCAAGGAAGGATACACAGAAAATTAGCTGCATTGTTATAGAAGCATCTGAATTCCCATTTTACACTTATTGTTCGTTTGGTTGTTTTTGCTCCAATTTACCACCTATCTATAGTTGTGTGTGGCCAATAGTGTTGAGGACACTAGGTTCTACCGATAACCCCACCCTTTAAATTGCTTTTGTTAACATTAAAATATATTCCCCATGAAATGCATATTTTAATCAACATGTGAAAAGTGTTCATATCTAATATACGGCAATATCGTCGCTCTGAACCTGTGTCATTTGTTTTTCCTATCATATCTGCTTGTGGCAGCTGAAGCCTTTGTGAAAAGTGAATGTTCACATAGGATCCTATCACTGATGGAGAAAATGTTCACAGTCTTTAAAGATGTTTTATATTTAAGTAACTATGGTTAGGTTAACACTGTGGCTGTTTTACATACTGTGTGATTAGTTTAATGAATCCACTAAACTCCTTTTGTATGTACACCTGCACAAAGACCTCCTTTTTACAACTATATTGTGATTTAAGTACATTATTTTACATCCTGTATTGGAATCAAAATGCTGCTTGAGGATAAACTGTGATGGTTTTTTGTTTCCACTAAAATATTATGCATGTAAATTAGTCTTACACAAACTGAATTCAAAGGAGATGTTATGGCTACAATGACTGAATTTGTAACTCCTCCAAATCATACTTGGACATGGAGCCAGTAGAACATTTAACATTATACTTTTCTTGTGGCTGACACTACATTTTAAATACATACAAAACTAGCTTTAGCCCCTCACACACATATTATGTATTTTCAGTCGATTAACATTCAGATAATTAAGGATATTATAAGGACACAAACCAGTGCTCCACAGAGTAATAAGGACAGTTCAAAGCTCTCCTTAATCATCTAACTATACACACAATGGGAACAACTGTCCTTCTCACCTCCACCCACCTACACACACACACACACACACACCACAGGGCTTTGTTATGAGCTGACCAAATGTGAGATGTGCTCGTGAGACAAACAAATGGTCAGTGCTCAGCAGGAGAGAGTATAGACAGTAGTGCAGGGGTTTGAAGTGTGGCTGGATGTGGACAAAGGTCTCTAAACACTTTGAATCTGCAACCCTTGACAGGTTCCATACAGCTTAACCACAACCAGTTGGTACCTGAACGCTCCAAAAGTGCAAAATACATTTATGTGTATTTTCCAGACATCTTTCAGCATATGCCAAATTATGTCAGGATTGTATCCTATGTTTATGTTAGGGTGGTTTCTACACTGATTGGTCAGGGCGTACCCTGCATTCTGCTTGAATGGTAGATGCCTAAAGGTATTGTAAGAAACCTCAACAGCCTAAATTTCTGTACACCAACTTTATCTACGCTTTACAAATCAACCCAGACAACTTGGTGTTAATTCATGTAAACCAGTGGACCACGCCAAGGATATACCACTTCTACAGACAGTTAACATTAAGTTGAGGTAATAAAAAGGGTGGCAAATTGTTAGGTTTAGGTATTAGTTTGTGGGTTTCATTGTAGGCATCTGTTTTTGATAGATATTTTTGTTAAACATACTGTAGGCCTATGGCGCCATCAAAGAAAATGTCCCTTGGGACATTCCCTGAGAATAACATAACCAACAAAGTAGTATAACAGCCCATCTGACCCTCATCATTAGCAAATAGTTTACAGCAGATTTCTAATTCTTAAATGTGTTGCAGGACTTTGTTTTGTCATGTTAAAAATGACTGCTGATAAACCTGTTTTCTATTTTTCAGTGATAGAGAAAAAATACTATGCACACTACAAAATATCCTGTAAATTCTAAGGGTCTGTGAATGTATAACAGAATGAAAAGTTATGTGTTATAGCCAGACGATGTACTATATTCTCGTTCAACTGAAAGAAGAAAGAAAATTAATACATTAAATAGGGTAAAGTGGATTAAACCCCATTTTAACGTATTCAACAGCAGTTTTGAATTATTTTGATTATAGTGTATCCTCTTTCGAGTAAGAAATGTATCCATGTGTATACTGTTGTTGTGACCTGTTTCTGTATTGTTATATTTGAGATTTAAATTGAGATTTAGACACTAGAGCTGAGGAGAGAAAGGGGAGCTACCATCTTGCCACGTTCCAGAGGAGGGACGGGGCGGGGCAACCGTAACTATCCACGCGGTTGAACAAGCCGAAATCGCCTCGAACTCTATTGGCCCTAAAATTCTCCCGACCCGCCCATTTTTGATATGCAAGCCTGTCATTGGTCAGAAGAGCTGAGAGTCCTAGAGTAGACGGGGTTTCTGGTGTTCCTAGTTTTATAAGGCAGGAGTAGAAATTGTAATTTATTTTTTAACTGCTGGAAAAATCGATTTCGAGTGCTCCAGTCTTTCTTTGATAGTTGTTTCAGAGGCAGCCAAGCTACCAGAAATTCGCCATGGCTTCAAAGAAAAATGCTAAAGTGCACGCAAAACCCAAAGGTGTGTTGGCGCTTCTCTTTTTATTCTGTCATGTGTCGCGAGCCGCGATGCTTTTGGCTTTCTCAGTGAGGCCTGTCAAAGTTATTCAGGTGCCTGGCTTTTATTTCATTCAGAACCTTCTTCCTAGCTAGGCAGCATTGTTTGACTTTTGAAGATTGTATTTGCTTGTTATCTGCACATTGCAAATTCGTTATTTTAGCCGTACATAAGCTGGGTTTGTGGAACATGAAACACTTTATCTACCATTGCCTTGTAAATATATTCACGCTGCTGCACCTCAACATTGGATATTATTGTCAGCCATTAACGCACAGGGCTTCCACCCTTGCCACGAATTACTAGTTAGCTCTGCCGCTGTTTAGCATTGCGTAATGTTTTACACGGTAACCGCGGCACTATTTGGCCGATTAGGGACACACCGGCAGTTTGTCCGGTGTCCTGATTGACCATGACTACTGCAGCTCCTGTGATAAACAGGGGAACTGTGGTTCACACGTAAGAGATAACATTAGCATCCTCTGGTGCGGAGCCCCCTTTTTTTCCCAGTTTCATTTGTAACAGCAGTCTCCATGGCTTAGCCAGAAAGGTAGGCCTGTCCCAGCATTTCTTGCATGAGCACGACGGGGCTCAAAGCACCCGCCCCCGACTTAGTCCAGCCACTTTTCAAAATGCTCACGTGTCAATATGAGGAGTCGTGGGCGGGGTTATACGTGGGCCCGGGGTCCCACTTAGTACCCGGACCCCACACTGGAATACAGAACTTCGCTTGGCTGCTATGTACGTGGTTCCACAGAGACCCAGTGCTGTGCTGCCTTAATGTTTAGTCCCATGGCACCCATTCAACGTGTGACCTCAATAGACAAACTGTTTTGCAGGTCACCCCCAAAACAGTTTCCAGCTGTTGTATCGCAGTCGACTGTGATTTTACAAAAGGTACTGTTTTGATTGGGTATACGCCAAAGTTACTGATAGCTTCTTAGTGCTTTACTGTGTCTGAGTTAGGACAGTAACAACCCTGAGCCCCACATCAACACGTGGCTGTTGTTAAGTGAGTCTGAGCCCGTGTTAGGTATGTTGGTACATAATTGTGGTAGGTACTATGTACAGTACACTCTGTCCTCTACCAACTCACCTGTGCCCTTTGGGTAATGTGATTGTTATCTAGATAACCACAGCAAGTGGTACAAGTATATATGGCCAGAGTGACCTGGCCTGAGGAAACTATATAAAGACAGTAAAATTAGGCCATTGATATGGTTTGAATAAACATATTTAGCCACTTGGATGGAGCAGCACATTACACATAATTTCCAGGTGAAAGAAGGGGACAACATGCAGAAAAAGTGAAGTGCAGGTTGACAATATGAGGTGTTTGCATAAATCACAGTCATTGTAGAGGCTTTATATTGCATCATGCTGTGGTAGGTCAAAGGGCAATGTGACTTAAAGAAGGTCAGGGAACCTGGTGTTCAAGTCGTGTTTGTTGTCATATGCACAGTGAGGAAACATGTTTCCCTGTATAATGAAATTCTTACTTTGCCATCCGCACGAATGTCACAATATAAATGAAATATAAAGTAGATATGTTGGTAACACAAAATCTAAATCACAAAATCAAAGGCACTTTAAAACAGCCAATGAAAGAAACATAATGAAAAATACAACAAGAACACATTGTAATGAAGAGGATGTATGCTATGCAAATGGTCAGCAATAGTGCAAATATTCAGCAGTGAGTGTGCAATTATGCATGTGCAAACTGAGTATGTAAATAGTGCAGGTGGCGTTACATGAGGAAGTTCCTGAGTCAGCTGGTGGAGTTACATGAGGAAGTTCCTGAGTCAGCTGTTTAGAAGTCTGATGGCAGTCAGATGGCAGTTCAGCAGCTAGTGCTGATGTTTACACTGAAAGAAGCAATAGGTACAGTGGATATGAAGGTTTGCTTTAGAATGAGCAAATTCTCATTTTCCAACAGAGAGACATCATCTGTATTTACGCAATGACAGCGTTTCATACTGTGTCCTTGAGATGACCTTATGATTCCTTTCCATTTAGACAGATGTAAAGCAAAGTAGGCTTTTCTGGGGCAGTACTTGTTCAGCTGGACCTGTGCACTTTGCCTCTCTTTGACTGAGTTCTGTCATATGATCAAACACTAGGGGTGCCTTATCAAATATGGGTTTTGGCTCTGACAGTGAAGCTTGAAATGTGAACTTAAACACTGAATTAGCAGTAGACCAATTAATCAGGCAGCTATTTGGCATTTTTAGATTAGCCAACGTCAGTGCTCACGAGTCTGATTAAAAAATGTCTGCAGTCACATCTGCAGGCAGCCATGTCTTTGCCATTTTAAATTTTCTAATAGTTGAAATCAAATATCTCACTTTATTGGTGTTAAATAAATGTTCATTCAGCAAATTAGTCTCATTTGTTATTGAAATGCAAAAAGTGAAAAAAACCCATGATCTCTGTTGTATATTGGCCATCTGCCTCCCTGCTGTCTGAATATCGGCCACAGCCACTGATCAACCCATACTGGTCGACTGCTACAGTGAATGGTTTTAAACATCTCTCTAAACAGCTTAAACATGTTCAGTCTGAATTATCTCAGAGTGTTCTGATTGTGTGATTGATTGAATCATGGACCTCTGAGAGTACATGAGAGGGGTCTGTGTTTCTGTTCTTCTTAGTGCGTCTCTGTTTATTTTTACATTTTAATCTTAGCTTCATTTTGCCCATTTTACTTCCTTAGTTCTTCCATATCTTGACCTTATCATTTCAGTGGCTCAAGCCTCCTCCTCTCCTCTGCACAGGGCTGGGAGTTCCTGAAGTATGCATAGATGGAAGGGTAACATAACTGTGTCAACAGATGTGCGGCACTGTGTCGTATCTTTTGTATTTGCTGTGTGTGTGCTTTAGCAGATTACAACCTGTAGATGGAAACATTGCAGTGTAACCTTGCATGAAAGTGTCTCGGTGTCAGGGACAAATTTTTAAACGTTTGATTTGGTGCTGAATCATACTGTTGGCAAAAATAGTGAAAACTACTTGTTCCCAATAACCTTCTCTGTCTAGGTTGCCATGAAAAATGATCCAGACTGGGCTAGCAGCAGTCTTTGGAAGAAGGGCAAGAAATGTATTTTATGTATTCTAGGGAAGCTAATATTTACTGGTTTACCTGGACTTTTAAATAGTGTGTTGCAAAGTTTAAATACAATTGATGCGATGATGAGAAGGATTCATATTGATTTTTAAATGTGTAAAAACTTATTGTTGCTGGCTCAGTGTCTCATTTAGTGATCCAGCAGGATGTGTTATGTTCAGGCCCATTTTGCTTTAGCTGGCTTGGCATTTAGAAGCATTGTTAAAGGTTGGGAAATATGTGCAACCAGGCATGCACAATGAAGAAAGAACAAAGAGAAGCAAGTTTCAAGGCGGGTCAGCCCTTACATAACACTTCAGAGTAGCTGCTTAGACTGAACAGTATGTGGGACACGTCACAGAGAAGAGACTAAGCAGTCGGTTTGACGGTGTGCACATGTGCGAATTGACTGCTGTCTTCAAATGAGAATGGATTTAATTGAAGAACAAAGTGGTATGTTATTGCATGATTTCCATGTTTATGCACAGTTTTTTGTGGTGTGTGGTATGGAGGTGTTGGATTGCACTTCTTAGTGTGTTTTTTTTTTTTTATGCGACAAATATTCGTCTTAGACTGTGTAGGGATTAAGGTTTGCAGGACAGTAGGCTTATAGTGGATCTTTTAAAAACAAGCCACAGCTGTTTCCTTTGAGTTTGTCGAGTTTTATTTATGTACGTGTTCTGTGCTGTTGCACCGATGTCAACCCTGGCATTATTTAACCCTCCTATTTAGTACTGCTATTTGCAGTTCGACTGGAATATGTAAACCGGAATTTCTTGCTGTGTTTTAAATGTCACTGTGGAATGCATGCATTGTTTGTAGTATCAGTCCTGGCATTAGAGGCACAGTTCTCGAAACTTTCAATATTCATCTATGTGAATAATGAAATAATGAGCTAGTTATTGTAGAACTGTCTGTGCAGATTCTCAGTCATCCAGGTCATATTAAGCTGAAAAAAAAAACTTGGAAAGAATCAACTGGACTAGATTTCTAGGTCGAAGACGTTTCACTTCTCATCCAAGAGGCTTCATCAGTTCTGACTGACTGGTGTTGAGCCGGAGATATTTATCCCCATCGGTGGTGTTTCAGTCCTTTGAAGGCCAACAATGTCCCTTAACAACTGAGTTATTATAGCCCAGTATCGGTGAGAGTCGTTACCTGTCTTTGAATCCTCCCCTGTGGACCGATGCCTATTGTCCTGGTGGACATGTTTGGGCAGAGATCTCAAAACAGGATTGTAGATGGATGACAAGTTGGGTCTTAGTAAATAGGGGTGGTGGACTAAGACAGATGAGCTGTCCACTTGGAGGAACATGCATCACAGAGGTTTGTACTACTGTGGACCGTTATCACAGCGGCAACTGTTTCATGATGATCATGAGGAAACATCAGAAATGTAGCGTTCATGTTACAAAGTGATCACCAGCTTGGCCAATGCAGTGGACTGCATATGTTAAGAACAGCAAATACACATTGAAAGTTAAACCATGTGGATGTTACCTCAGTTGGTGAAAGAAAGAGGACATTACATATAGTGACTTTCTAATCTTCAGCTCAGGCAGCAGAAAGAGAGCAGTGCTTTAAAACAGGCAGCGCCTAGTCAGCCTGGCGGAGACGTTGATGGCCATGGTCTTCCCTCCCTTCTCTCTTGGTGTCATGGGCATCTGTTCTAACAGCACTATAAATAGATGTCTTTGACCTCCAGAACTATATCAGGCTCAGAGAAAAGAGTGACAGCAAGCAATGATGGCTGACAGATGATTAAAGAGAACCAGTCAATAGAGAATAGGGGGAGGGACAGCAAGAGGAGGTGAGACTGGGAGAGCAGATCTGTTCCCTTATCTGGCTCTGCATGCTCTCTTTGTGACAATTTAGCCTGTTATTTGGATAATTGGCAATCCAGGCCACCTGTCAGAAGTGATGGGTGATCCAGCGACCTTGGTAGAGTTTGCCACCCCTACTGTCATCATTGCCGGGGAAATGCAAGGTCAGGAAAGTGTCTGTCCAAGAGTTAGTGACTAGAGAGCTGTGAAAGACAAAGCAGTGCGGAGGATGTTGTGTGGAACAGCTGTTTGGTTGCAGGGTGAAGGGTTGAAGTTGACTTTGAATGGACCTCAGAGTTGTTCGTTTCATGAAGCTCTAGTGAAGTTGTCCTAGACCATATCTCATCTTACTGGTTGCGCACTAGTTCTGTCTTGTTTGCTTTGTGGGTGTCCTGTCAGTAGTGCATAAATGTATCTTAAATCATCAGCACAAATATTATGCTTTTATACAGCATTCTGATGGAAATGTGTAATGCGACTCCTGAAACTCGGTTACATTTAGATGGACCATGTCATCTGATAGGCCTTTTCCACTGTAGGAATGTACTAAAACAGAACCTACACCCCTTGTCATAGAGTTTGCGTTCATTTCCACTTTGGAGACGAGTTCCCAGAGCTAAATTTTGGCTCTCAAGAGGTGGTACTAAGTCAAGTTCCAGGAAATTGCAGAGGGCACAGGCAAAGTGGTGAAGAGTCCATTTCTGCAAATTTGTGTTCTGCTTGTTCAACAGCTGTTTGATAAACTACTCTTACAGTCTCCATCACTGACAGAGTTTTAGAACCATGGTTAACCAGCATTGTGGTCATTGACTCTGAACTCTCTGCTCACCTGTGGAGGGACTGACACCGGGGAAAATCATTGGAAAAGCAAAGTGGAACGGACCACATCAGCCTACCGGATTATGGATACAGGAAGCTCGTTAAGTTCCTTGGGTGGAAAAACACAAAGTACTTTAAATTGGAAGAGGACTTGCTGTAATTTACATAAAAATCAGTATCTTTGACCCACATTCTTATCCACTTTTGGGTTATAGAATAGGGTGGATGCATCATACCATATTTCTCCAGCTTCACTGTTTGTGCTAAGATAGACATATGATTCCTAACAGACTGACCCCAGTTGAAGTGTGAAAATCTGTTTCATAGTACTGTACCGTTTGTGTTAGTGGAGTGTGTTGTTGAAGGTAAGGACGGGTCAAAACTTAGGCTGAAGATGTGACAGTCGAACATAACTTACTTCCAAGTAAGTTGCCAGTAACCCTAAAGAATACAGTAGGTTCTTCCAGCTCTAGTGTTTGGGGTCGTCCCTGGTAGGCTAGTGGTTAAGGCGCAGCACTCTTGCTGCTGCGGCCCCGGGTTCGAATCAGGGTTGCGTCAGGAAGGGCATCTGGCGTAAAACGTGCCAAATGTCAACATGCGAGTCGTCAGTGTGACAATTTGCTGTGGCAACCCCTAAATGGGAAAAGGCCGAAAGTGACTCTCTTCCAGCTCTAGCGTTTCATTTGTTCCCCGTACTGAAGTCACCGTAACAGCTGTACATCTGGGAGCTAACCCACCTAGCATGGTGTAGATGTAATGCAACCGTTTCAATAATCGCTGTCCCAATAGAAGTGGTAACTCAGAAATGATGTTCCCCCTGATTGTGTGGTGAGTTTACTTCTTCTAATATGTATATGCTCCACTTGAAGAGGTGAGTTAGGTGACAAGTATATGCACTGGCTGACAGGTATTGCTGTGGCAAGCCAATGATGAAACTGTAACATTGGCTAACTATCCAGTTCTGTATGATAATAGATTCTTAAACTGGTAATACAATCTGCCATCTTCTAATGGCTGACAATACTGCTGGTTATGTAGCATGCAAACAATGTATAGTGTGTGTGTGAGTGAGACCAATGCATACTGTTCTCTTCACACAGCAGTATGTGTATATACAGCATGAATTTATAAGGAAGGCCTTCAGATTAACATGTCACATCCATGGGGGACCCTGACATTGTGTCCTGTCCTTGTGTTGCAGAAGGTACGAAAACCCAGTCAGCCAATAGAAACGGAAAGAAAGCCGGCGCTGGGTCCAGCGGCTTCTTCACCTGGTTCTTCATCCTGGCCCTCCTGGGGGTCTGGACATCTGTAGCTGTGGTCTACTTTGACCTGTTTGACTATCAGGGAGTCCTTGGTGAGTACCCAGTGTGACACACACACATCCATTTGGCTTCATTATCAGCTGAATGTGGTGTTCTTTTCAGTAGACCTTTGCACCTTGTGCACCATTCTGGAAAAATGTGGCAGTAACTGGTTTGGCTTTTTGTCTCCATCGTGCTTATATATGATCTTGTATATGATCTGTCCATAAACACAACATCTGTCCCTAAAGTGAACCGACTGATAAGTCTTTACCAACCTGACATCAGTCAGCTTCAGTCTTCTGTCCTGCTTTGTTTGTTCCATTCTCTGACCAGTGCTTGCTTTAAGCCAACAATCTAGGGAAATAGGGTGAAGGTCAGAGTCAGTCAAATCCAATTAAAGCAGAACTGACCCAATAAATCAGTCCAGATTTCGTTGTCAGACTTTTGATAAACTCAAGCGTATAAATGGCAGAGCTTGTATGCCATTACTTTTGTCACCTTTGGTAGTAAATTTGCTGTTTAGAAAACCTAGATGCAGACTCATGCAGCCGTTGCCCTCTGGCTGTTCATCACATACAGTATGCTGCAGCTACTCCTTAACACTTGGTCTGCTGCACCAAGATCACAGTAGTACACTGTCATAAACCTGCATCCCTATAACTAATGTTGAATGTTCTTGTCTGTGCAGTATGTGCGTGATGTTAATGTACGACTCTGTTCTATGTATTAATCTTGCTGTTGTTCCCATATGTGTCTTGTGTTTTGCATGCAGACAAGGCTAAGGACTTACAAATTAACCTGTCTGAGACCTTGCAAGGTAAAAATCTCAAGGCATATTTCTCCTACACCCTGTATTACATTTTAATATTGTTGTGCTTTCAAGTGTCTTCACTCCTTTACACATGCTTCTTAGAGCCCTGAATCTAAAACAGGTAAGGCAGTAGATTCACCAGTTGTCAGGCTAACTGCTGCCATTAAGTGGTCTGGTAGTGAAATATGCTTTCACAGGAACTTAATGTTTTCTGGTACTTCAGTTGTGTTACTTAACTGTTTTGACATAGAATGCATAGTAAACAATATCTTAAGCAGTCTTTCTGTTATTGGTTACATTTTAAGACAAATGAATTAAACTTATCACAATTATGAACAAGCCTGCCTCATGCATTTGACACGTGCCTTACAGTGGATTATATAGGAGCAGACCAGTAGGCTGACTTACTTGTTCAACTGCTGAGGAGGATGTGAATAATCTACTGCATCAGTTTGAAGAATTCAGAGCAGGGATGCAAACTTGTCACCATGTGGCAAAATTCAACATTTTCATGGTCAAACGAGTCACCTACGTGCATCGCACAGATCTGCTGTGACGGTGGAAGGAGACTGTCCACCGACATTAAGACACAAAAATGAAGTAGAGGAGTGTGTGTATTTACACATTTTCAGTGCTGACATAGGTTACGTCAGCATCACCCTGTGTTAATTGTTTGCACACAGCAGTGTGAGTGACTCTTGAGACGCTCTTGTTAGCAAAGCTCACTGTAGAAATCGTTCAGGTAGCAGCTTCCCATATTTAACCGCTCCTGATCGGAGCTGTTTCAGGTGATCTCGGCCAAACTTTTCCAGCTATTTGGGTCTAATCTATTATGGAACTATTGGCCCAAGGTAACAGTGCACCAACAACACCCTCTGAGGGATGGATGATAAGTGGCCAGCCCCCTATTGGCTTGTTATGTTTTCTAAGAGGATAGTGTCACTTTTTTCCAAGTCTGTCTTAAACCTGTATGTTGTATGCCCAAGTGTAAATTGAACCAGTTTTAGTTAATGTAGTCATTCCTCCTGTTGATGCTGACACCATTCCAGTGTAGTTACTGGGGGACAAAATCCACAGAAGGCGTTGTGGATATGAACGGGTTCTGTCTTTTGGTAAGTGCCCTTTTGATGCGTCCAATTTAGACTACAGAGCTATAGAATGCATTTTATCCACAACTAGGACTGTGAGCTTTGTTCCTCATCACTTGCATTGGGATTATGTTGGATCAGGAGAGATGACAGTTTTTTATTTGCTTATGGGCATGAGAGTATTGTATTAAGGTAGACTTGGAAAACATGAACCTGCCATACAGTGTCAGCAATGCATGCAAGTGTGCAGCCATTAACAGTGTGTCCTTGTGATTTCTGTGTTTGTTGCTGCTCTAGGTAAACTGGTGGCGTACGACACAGATGGCGATGGTGATTTTGATGTCGAAGATGCAAAAGTTCTGCTAGGCAAGTTGATGTATTTCTAATTTACAGCTAATGGTACTATGAGTGTCTTGCAGCAAGTAAAGTAAATGACTACTGTATGCACAGAGGGGTGACAAAGGAAAACCAATACAAAGAGTCTCAGCGAGGTGCTGGGCCTCAGTCACCTTGGCATTGACTCTCCAGGTCTCTGACCTCAACTAGAGGGATGGGCACCATTCTTCCAAAAGATGTTCCTTCAGTTGGTGTTTTGATGATGGTGGTGGTGGAGACGCTGTCTAACACATCGCTCCAAAGTCTCCCATAGCTGTCCAACTGAGCTGAGACCTGGTGACTGTGAAGGCCGCAGCATATGATTTACATTGGTTTCATACTCAACACACCATTCAGTGACCCTATAAGACACGAGGGGTTAGACTGTCATGCTAGAGGAGACCACTCATTTATTCAGTCTTCCTTTAATCTGTCACCCTTCTGTACATCTCCAGTGAAATCAGAAATATTTCACTGAAATATTTGGGATGAGCCTATTGGTTTCACACATTTGAAACTGCTTTATTTTAAGAGCGCAGGCCACTGATAATGTGTCGTCTTGTTGACTACATGGCATTTGGGTTTCTTTTGCATGACTGACAGTCATATGGCTAACTGTTACCATAGACAGTTGCATCAGTGAATACCCAAAGTGAATGAAAAGCTGAGCTCTTAAGGCTTTGGCACCTCTGCAAGGTTTAGTATATTGTATTAGCTGGTTTGTAATTTTAAATGAAGATGCACATGTCTTTGAGTGTCCCCACATTAAAATCGTATTAAAGTTTTAATTGGTCTATGGTCCCTGAAGCTCTCTAAATCTTAGGCCCCAACTTAAGATGGTACTGTAGGGCTATGACTAACCACTGAGCTCTGTGAAACTTAAAGGATGCCATTAGTGAGATTATTTTAACATATCTTTTAACCCAAGGACTACTCCATTGATTCCCTGTGTAAATGCTCTTCTTTTCTGTCCTGGTACCACTGGACTGACACCCAGCTAAGTGTTGATGGTATAGGTTTTGGAACATATCTCCTGTGTGAAGCTCATTATACTCAAGACAGCTAGGAGCTTGATAACAGATCCAGTTCTCAGTTGTCTTCAGTGCTGTTGGTCCCCATGTGAATTTTGCTGCATGATTTTATACATGATCAGTTTTCTGTTGCTGTTTCCTTATCTATTCAACTCCCACACATAGTGAATGGGGAACACTAGCTTAAACATGTTGAACTACAGCTGTGTACAAACGTCTCCAACAGAAGATCTTTGCATGAGAAGATGCTCTGCGTAACACCTCAGAGAACCCAAACAGTTGTTTTTGACATGTAAAATTGTGTGCCCGTAACTGGGGGACCTTTTTCTGGCTCTGAAATTCAACAGCCATGAGAGTCCCAAGTTAGTTTCCATTCATTCATGTTTTTATGAGGCCGGTGAGGATCAAAAGGAGGCCGTTTGTTTTTGTCTAAATCTTTGGTCAGTCTTCAGAGAGGTTTTCTTTTTGCTCAACCCACCTTCAACTTTTGCATCTCGGGAGCAATCCATTATCCATGTCTGTAAACATCCTTTTGGACTTATAGGTGTACTCAAATTAGCTATATTAACAGGCTGTTAGTTGAACTTTGCTTCCTGGCATTATACTGTATGCTCCCTTGCATATGCACTGCGTCTCTTGATTTTTAGTTTGATCCCTATTGAATTTTCCTCTTTGTGTCCTCTCCTGTTTTAAACTTACTGTATGTGTTTGAGGCTGCCTCATTTTACCTCAGTATATTTTGCCATAGATGCTCAACAGAATATGTTGACAAATTTTTTATTCATTTTAAAATGCTCTACAAGTGCTGGAACATAAACGTTTGGAAACTGAGCTTAATTTTTTTCTCTCTTTTGTGTCTAACTCCTATTTCTTTGATTATCAGGCTGTCTCCATGTCATAAAATGAATTTTTGTTGCAGAATCAGTGCAGAGAGCTCAACCCATCAATAATTAGATGAGTTATAAAGAGGAGCACTTAAATTTAGCACTGCAGCACAGTTCAGGGCCATCACTGTCTTAGTGTGAAAGTCATGGATCAAGTGGGCACAAAGTGATTTTTGTTGATCAGGAGTGGACAGTCCAACATCAACTGCTTATGCTAGAGTCGAGTCTGAGTGCATCCCTGGCTGTCTAACCTATGCTTAAAACTTGACTTACCTTCTCCTCTTGTTGCTTCCTCCCTCTTTTCTCCTCTGCTCTTCACCCCGTTCATTCTTTCATAACATCTTTTTCTTCATTTGATCCCACCTTTTGCTCCTGCCCTTTTTTTTTTTAAACTAGTTTTTCCTTTCCTCCTCATGGTTATTATGCCCTTCATTTCCACAAGTTGTGCTCCCAAATTTCCCCTCCATCTACCCATGCATGCGTCCATCCCATCCCCTTCCCTTGTTTGCGTAGGCTTGACCAGTGAGCGCGATGGTCAGGGTGAATCCGAGGTTCTGGATTGGTTAGAAGAAATGGAGGAGGGCGGCTCTGACTGGTTAAACGGTTTCTTCACTTTCTTGTATGGTCTGATAAATCCCTTGGAGCCCCTGGAGGAGGAGGAGCACAGTGCCTCAGGAGGAGTCGTGGAGGCACAGGAGGAGGATGAGGAAGATGAGGATGAGGGGGGGGTCAGAAGAAGAGCAGCGAAAGATGATGGAAATCAGGGGCAGAAGATCGTCATAGTGGGCCTTCATAACCAATAGCCTCAGGGCAAAGGCAGCACCCCAATTACTCACTTGTTTTGAACCAAAGGGCTTTAGCATCCACCAGCCCAAGCCACAATATTGGCAACACTGTTCAACTATATTTTTCCTTCTTGCCTTTGGAGGTTTTTGCAACCAAAGCCAGCCAGTAGCTTTGGTTCCAGTCCAACCTTGTGCTGTGGACCCCATATATCCCAGATTTCACCTACTGTAATCCCCAAATTCTTTCAAAATTTGCGAACAAGTTTCAGTCTTGTATCAGC